ACAAGTTTACAGTGGAAAGGTAAGAGATGGCCCCACTGGACCCAGTTTTACATACCTAGGGTTATAAAATAAGAGCAAATCTTGTACTTGAATCTCTATTGGACTTTTGGCCTCCAAACTGTGAGCTAAATGGACTTCTCCTCTTTATACACTACCCAGCCTTGGTGTTTTATTATAGCAACTGAATAAAGATTAAGACACTCACCAGGGCTGGGGACACAGCACAAGCACCTGTGTGGCAAATGTAAAGTCCTGAGTTTGGTTCCTGGTACCAAAAAAAAAAAAAAAAAAAAAAAAAAAGAGGGAGACAGACATTCACCAATTTCTAAATTTTATGTATTCATATCTATTAATATGACCCTTTTTTTGCTTTTGCATTTTTTTTTGCTCACCAATGCCAAGAGTATGTAAATATGCACCTGAATGTCTATGATTTATCTACTTTTTAGAGTACACACTTCACTGATTTTAAAAAATAGTACGCTTTGTCCAAAACCATATTTTTTGTATATAAGTTTAGATTTCTTTGCTATTCACAGTATAACTGTTTCTTATGGGTTTTTAGTTTTGTTTTGTGGGTTTTTTTTTTTTTTTTTTTTGTACTGGGAATCAAACTCAGGGCCTTGCCTTTGCCAGGCAGGAGCTTGTGCCACTGAGCTATATCCCTGGTACTCATAGTATAACTATTTGCACAAAAATGATTCACAAATCAGGTAACACTGAAAACCAGAAAAGGTTCAGAGAGCTCTGAGATGTCAGCAGGGTATATTCATATTCAGGAAGGGGACGTGAAGTACATATACAGCTTTATAACTGCAGCTCAGTATTTGCCTTATTTGAATATGATATGATGAGACATCAGCCTGTGATTGGCTGGATGGAGCTCGGGTGCCTATGATTGGCTGTGAAAGCTATTTGTTACAAGAATATACTCCTAGGTTTTTCAGTTTGTTAACATGCTAAATTAGGTCACGGTTGGTTACACAGGGACTTGAAGTTCTTGGCAGTGCTCATAACACTAATCTTTGCAATCTCTTCAGAAATGTGATAGTGCTTTTTGCTCATTACTCCTCTAGATAGAGGCAGTTCTAGTGGCTTCTAGCTAGCCTTTTCCCCTCAAATAGCCTTAACTCCACAGATTAGGAATCACTGTGAAGGATCCTTCCAGTTGCAGAATATATCTCTGCAAATGATGCATTCTGGAGCAGGGAAAATAACCATATCGTGAGTTTAGAGACCCACTGGGCCCACTGTGAAAATGATGTGAGATAAAACTACATTGATCAGCTACCTCCCACAGGTCCCTGTCCTAATTAGTGGACCACAGTGAGGTTTGCAGTCTCTGGGAATTGGTATCAGTTCAAAGCCAGGGACTGGTGATCCGTCAAAGCGCTGATGTTTCCTCTTTCGCCCAATATACAGTGAACCTGGTAAAAGGCCGTATGTCCCTTTGGGAGGGTGGTGAGGACATTAACAGTACAGATCTTTGGCCGTGTGTCAGGGTCTTTTCTCAATGGATCTGGCTCCTCTTCATGCAAGGGTTTATAATCTGTCAACTGACTCTGTCTGGAAATTGACTGAGGGTTGTAACTCTGCTCTTACAGTTCTGTGGTTAACACTTTGTCTCTTGACCTGGAAGTCATCTACTTGCACAGATTAAGGCAGCGCTGGGCAGGCTTCCCATCTGACTCACTTCTAGAGACACTAAGATCAAGCAGCCTGCCCTGTAGGTCTTCCTGAGCCAGGGCATTTTGATTGCTTTCTTGCCTGTCGTCTGTCATGATAACCACACTCTCCTTGACTTTGGCAGTGAAGTGCCACCAGCTGTCCTCTGCTACCTGAGACTGTAATTACTACCATGGTATTTAGGTCTCTCAACTCAGGGACAGCAGGTCCCTTTGCAATCAGAGAACACTTCAGGGTTGCCAAGGCTCCCCTTACAACTTTATTTCTCACCAGCTCAGCGAGTGCTGTGTCTTCTGGATTCTGGGAGGCTGAGTAAGTAGGTCTTCAATGACAAAACCACATCAGTTTTTAAAAAGTAGACAACAGGCTGGGGATTTAGCTCTGCAGCACAGCACCTGCCCGGCAAGCACAAGGTCGTGAGTTCGATTCCCAGTACCACGGGCGGGGGGGGGGGGGGGGAGGAGTAGACAATGAAAGTGGTTGCCCAACATTGTAAATATTTCAGCATTAGCAAATTGGATACTTTAAAATGGTTAAGATGCTGATTTGCGTGTTATGTGCATTTATAAAAATATCTCACAGACTAAGCCTCAAACATTTTCCTGAATTGAATGGAGAATGAGATTAATAAGTTACACTTTATTTTGAGGGAAACTATACTGGTTTTGGGGTGATCATCACTTGATAGCCTAGAGATCAGTGAAACTCCAAGTTTCTTTCATTTTGGCAGTTAAAAGTGCACATAACTGCTGGACATGGTGGCGGGCGCCTGTAATCCCAGCACTTGGGAGGCAGAGGCAGGAGGATCGCTGTGAATTCTAGGCCAGCCTAGGCTACAAAGTGAGCTCAAGTTCAGCCTGAACTGCATAGCGAGACCCTGTCTCAAAAAGACAAAAAAAAAAAGTGCACATAACTTGAGCCAAAGTTAATTTAAAAAATCACAATTCCTGGGTATGATACCTAGAATTTTTGAATGGCACTCAGGTCTGAGAATTACAGTTGTTGGGTGCCCACAACTCATCCATCAAGAAACTCCTTTAAATTTTTGGTGGTGTTAAATAGATATTCATTGTTTGTTAATTTTTGAAACAGGGTCTTACTATGCAGTTCAGGCTAGTCTTGAACTCACTATGTAGCCCAGGTTGACTTCCAGTTTATTACAATCCTCCTGCCTTAGCTTCCCGAGTGTTAGGATTACAGATGTGCACCCCATGACTGACTATAGACACTCATTTTTATCTTCTCTTTGAAAATTAGAGCAAGGTGGAGATTTAGCCCAGCGGCACAGCACTTGCCTGGCTAAGCCTAAGGTTGTGAGTTCAATTCCCCGTAAGGCAAAAAAAAAAAAAAAAAAAAAAGAAAAAAGAAAATTAGATGCTTTATCATCTCCTGTTATCTCTTCTTTTTTTCTTAAGTCCTCAAGTATCCGTTCAGAATTTTCTTACGATACAGAAATTATGAAAGAGTAGAATGATGCAGCTCAGTATTAAATAATGAAGTTCCCTTATAACCTTGACCCTTCGATCAGTCTATCCTTTCATAAACTCTTGCATATGCCTTCTGCTGCCTATTTTCCTCGGCAGACAGTGTAGAACTGTGAATTGGTCGATGGCTGATTGTCCCGTGTAAAACTTTACACTGGTGTCCTTTCCCTGTACTAACCATCTTAAGCCCTAAGGTGAGAGTTTTGCTACAAAATAAGTCAGTTTCTGGTTCCCCTGCTACCGAAGATTAAGCCCCGGGTCTTCACGTGGAGCTACATCTCTAGTCATTTTTATTTATTTATTTATTTTCTGAGACACTGTCTTGCTAAATTCAGTTGCCCAGGCTGGGCTGAAACTTATGATCCTCCCGGCTCAGGTGGGATTACAGGACTCGTAGCAGTGCACAGGCAGTTTCTGGGTTGTAAAGAAGCCCTCGAGTGTTATCCCTTTCGGTTGGGGTTTGCATGGACTTCTTTCATGGAACAAACAAAACCAAAAAGCCATTCTTCGGCGAAGACCTTTAGGGCTAAACATAGTATCTTTAATACAACCACTATTAGAGTATGGCTTAGAGTCAGCTTGGCTTCCAGTCTACCTTAAACCCTCCAAAGGGTACATTTCAAACTCAAAGCCATCCTATAAGGCTTACCGTGCCACATAACACAGCAACACGCTCTACATCTACAACTCCCAAGGCTTGAAACCCGAACTTCTCCTTTTCTGCTCAGAGTTGCCGCCTGCCGGCAGGAAGTCTGATTGCCGAGCTACTCAGCTCACAGGCTCAGGCTTCCTGCGAGGTCTGCACACGCTGGCAGTCGCCGGGCGCGGTGGCGCGCGCCTGTAGTCCCAGCTACTCGGGAGGCTGAGGTGGGAGGATCGCTTGAGTCCAGGAGTTCTGGGCTGCAGTGCGCTATGCCGATCGGGTGTCCGCACTAAGTTCGGCATCAATATGGTGACCTCCCGGGAGCGGGGGACCACCAGGTTGCCTAAGGAGGGGTGAACCGGCCCAGGTCGGAAACGGAGCAGGTCAAAACTCCCGTGCTGATCAGTAGTGGGATCGCGCCTGTGAATAGCCACTGCACTCCAGCCTGAGCAATATAGTGAGACCCTGTCTCTTTTGAGTTCTCACTTAAAGCAGCCTTTCCTCCACGCCCTATCCTAAGAGAAGGAAAAGTTGCAAATGTACATTTTTGAACAACAGTTCACTTCGTTACGCTCTCAATCCACTCCCTCCCCACAGTGGGAAGTCTTGTCTTATTTATATTTTGGTCTTACTTCACCATTAGCGAGCGAAACAATTGAATGATCACGGGGCCAAGCAGGTAGGAACCCTCGGCCACATCCTGGGCACCGCGGATACCCAGACCAAGCTGGATGAGATCCCACAGTTCGCGGGGCACAGCAGGACCCCTCGACATGAGAACTCCTTTTTGAGGGTTCCTTGATCGTGGAAGGCAATTCTAGGACATGGGAAACAGTTGCACTTCGTTAATTTCAAAAATCCTAGACATCCGAGACAGGCTACTGACCGAGACGTTGCTTTTCTGCACTGATCCCTACCGCCCACCCGGGGAAATTCGCCCAGTGGGCCCATCAAAAGATTGTTAGGACCAGGAGGGGTCACTATGGAGGCCGGTTTGAATCACCAAACACAGGGAAGTAAGGCAGCCAGATCGGTCCGTTAGTGTTCAGGGATAGTATGCAGATTCAAGAAAAGTTTGGGCCTGGTTCAAATTGTTTAGCTGTAACGAAATGACAACAGATTTCTAAATTATTCAGGCAAACGACACGAATACGTTCGCTGGGAGGAATATTGAGTCCTCTGGGCGGCCGTAGAGCGGCAGGTGCGCCTGCGCGGAAGCGTCGCGGCGTCGAGTCCGGCTGGTCTTGGAGAAAACTGCGGTAGCGACGCTCGGAGCTCGCCATGAAGGCGCGCTTTAGCACCGTTGACCTCCGCGCCGTACTCGCGGAGCTGAACGCGAGGTACGTCCCGCCCGTGCGCAGGCTGCTCCGAGGAGCGCAGGCGGCTGCACGGTGAAGCCCGGACCGGCTCGCCGTCTGCTCCCCTCGCCGCGCGTCCGTGGACCCGGCTAGGCCGGGTGGGCGCGCGGAGTCCTCGCCGCCGCCCTCGG